TTAAACCACTGGAATTCAGCATGGATGGGAAAGTTCTGTTCATCAATGAGGATCCAAATATCCATCCACATAGAATAGAAAGAGAATTTCAGTTCTATGAATTAGGTAGACAGCTGGTGCTAATCGTGCGGAGATAATTACAAGAGTTAATTATGTAAGCTGTTATGATTTATGGGGTAAGGACAGTGGCAAATTACTCAAGTTGATAGGGGAAATTGAAGAACAGTTATTATCAAAAAATGGAGTTATGCTACAGACTGAATTGTGCTCAGCAGAACATCTGTGTTCACACATATTGGTGTAATAGGGAAAAAATAGCCTTCTTTTTGTGTGGCACTAGAAAATAAGCACAAATATGGGGAAAAAAAGCCCAGCAAGTTATCTTCTCCTCTGCAGAAATGTGGAAAAAATCCAATTTAGCTGCTTTTCTGTTTTGTATGTGAATGAAAAGTAGTTGTTGAAAGCATTTTCTCCTGTATTTTGCTCAGTAACACCTTGCAGTTGGAGTGGGATCAGCTAATGAGCTGCTGCTGAGAGCCACATCATAACTTAAGTCTTTGGTGTGCAGAGCCAGGAATTTTTAGGGCAAAAATCCCAACCCTGTTTGCTGTGCTGCTGGATGGTCCAAGGGAAGGTCACAAACACAGTGCTCAGGTCTGTTCTCTACCTCATTTGGAGCAGGCAGTCAAATTGGATCTTCCCATGCCCATGCTGGTGCCGTAACCCCAACACAATCTGCTTCTCTCTCCAGGTGTTTTGAAAGGTCTCTTCTGCCAAAGGAAACAAACAAACAAAAAAGCAAACCCAGCCATGAGACAGTTTGGAAAAAGAGGTTTAGTGTTTCCAGACAGTTGTAATGATTTTTTTTTTTTTTTTTTGCTTTGATGCAACAAACTTCTTTTGGAAGCAGCAGGTTTTGAGTGCTCGGGGGGTGAGCGTTGTACAGCCAGTGAGACAATGAGATGGGGCAGTGGAGTGGAAGGGCAGCTGATATCCAGAAAAAAAAAGGCTCTTCTACTGAAATGTCAGGGCTATCTTTGCTCAGGTCATCGAGTGTTTCCAGCACCTTGGTGATCTATGAGTGCACGAGAAGAGAGGAATAACTCATAGCTGTTCACATCCAAAAAATGCCACTAGGAAGGACAAATAATAGTTACTTGAAAATACAAGGGACACAGGGGAGAATAGTGAATTTTATTTTTTTTTTTTTGTAAATAATTAGTCATCTTTCAAATAAATTATTTTACATTTATTTCAGCTGTCACAACCAGAGCCAAGAATTTGTCTGAATAGTTTTCATAATGTTTGCAGGGCTGTATTTGATTTGCCTACTTTGGTTTATTAAAAACAAAGAAACAAATAAATGCTGTCCACTCTTAGAAAAATTCCCAACAGCCTCTGTCATTGATATTTAAATGTGTAGAATCACAGAATCATTGAATTATGTGTTCTGGAAGAGACCTTTAAAGATCACGTGGTCCAGTCCCCATGCCATATGCCACCAGTGTCCTCAAGCTTTTCTCCAAAGGGCTTCTCTCAATCCTTTTATCACCCAGTTTGTGCTGAAAACACAACACCAAGGCATCTGGTCCTGTGGGAGGGACCAGAGAGAAACCATAAGGATTAGCAGGATAATTAAAAAATTTTTAAAAAGGGAAAAAAAGGGTCTATCAATATTTGCCTCAAGAGTTGTCAATATATGCTTGTCTTTAACGTGGTTATGGGAAGTCTTGGGTAAATAATGCAATTTGAGCACATACTGAGCAAAGAGAAGGCAAAGGGGGAGAATTACAACTCTTAAACTTGTGGCTCATCTCTTTCAGAAATCTGTAGGGAAGACAGTTGAATTCAGAGAGCCAGGAATGTTCTTGTGTGAGCTGGAGCTGCTGACAGGGGATTGATTTGATGAGTGTGTGATCCAGCTCTATCCCCTTTCACTCCTGGCATTCCCTGCCCACACCTGACCTCTGCCATAGGGAAATCCATGTTAATGGAATTTTCTGCTTTTAGCAAAGACATCCTCACCTTTCTTTTGTGCTGCTGGAGCTGGGTAAGGAGGCCTTAAGTCAGGATGGGACTGAACTATTAATTAGTGAAGTTCTGTTATTTCAGCAGAGATCTGTGCTAGGACTGTGTGAAGCTTCTTTAATAAAATAAGAGAGCAAGGTTCCCTAGTGTGATCACAAAGCCAGGATCATTACAAGGCTGCCAAATGAGCTTATGGTAATTATCAAGTGATATATTTGATAATTGTATAGAATTTTGGGTGACTTCTGCATTAATTAGTAACTGAAGCTGATAGAGACATTATTTTTTTGCACCACTTTAGGTGGGGTAAGATATTTAAAATAAACCAGTTAGCTTTAAAGCCCTGCTGAAAAACTGAGGTATTTGAATAAGATAAAAGGTTATTATTATAATTCTTCATTTTTTCCAAGCAATTTATATAAATTCATAGGTTATTGGATTTTTAAAAATAGGAAGGAGGCTTGGATGCCATGGATTTTTGTGTCACGGGTATTAGAAGCCTTCCTTCCCCTTTGCCCTGTCCCAGTACAGCTGACTTTATGTAACAGGAATTCTAATTTTGGATGAGACTGCTTTTTTAGCCTCTTAACTCGTGATTTAATGTAATTTAAAGGAGCTGACACAAGGTGGGTAAAATGGCCATATTCCAGTTTTTATGAGTGGTTTTCTTCCTATGGGAGCTCTGTATTACCCAGAACCCTGTTGGTGCAGAGACTGGAATCCAGAATTCCTTTTCCAGGGGAATGTCCTAGCCCCACATGGAAATTTCTCTTCTTGTTCCATCTGAATGCTGTTGATCAGAGGGTAGTAAGATTTTTTTTTTTTAATTTTATTTCATGCCAGTATGTTTTGTTTAAAATTTTAAAGCCTTTGCTTCAAGTTTACAAATCACTGAGCCAAACAAAGCCTCTAGCACCATTGATCTTGTGCTCTCTTGCTGGCACTCTTCCATGACTATATTTCAGTCCCACCTTTTGACATGATGGACACTTATTTTTTTTAATGATTGAAACAAAATAAGTAAGAAAAAAAAAGAACAGCAAAACATTTATGAAGTGGGCTCAAACAGAATACACCAGTATTTCTTTTTGAAAAAGAGGATTGACTTTGGGGGGGCTGTTTCCTACATGTGAGTTACAAGAAGTGGTAGAAAAAGTCTCCATCTTCTGTGGTAATTTGGATTTTCATATGGACTGTGTTAGTTCTGGGCTCAGCAGCTCAGAGCATTAGCAAAGGTTTTCTGCCAGTTCCAGATCCTTTTCATCTCTAGGACCTGCATATGTTCATCTGCTCTACACAGAAGTTCTTAACTGAGAAGATTTCGAGCACTTGTAGACAATCTAAGTGATTTTTTTATCTATTTCTGCATATTAAGCAGCATAGGAAAAAGCAGTTATTTTATTTAAAAAATGCCCTAAAGAAAATAGTAATAAATATTTTATTTCAATTTATAATTATTTCCACATTGGGTAGTTCTGATAAATTTTCTTATTGCTTGGTGGTGGGTTAGAATTATTTCCATTTCTATTGGTGTCCTTAACTAGATGCCAATGACAATGATAACTATGAAATGATCTTCAGGAAATTTCCTTAGGAATATTTGCAAGGGAAAGCTAATAAAGAAAATATTATTTCTGGATATAAACAGTAGGAAAAAACCCCATATGATGAATGAATATTACATTCCAGCAGCCAAGCAGACTCTTTCCTGAAAGAAGGCCCTGGATTACATTTTTTTTTCTTCCACTACATCCATGTATATTGTATTTTCAAGCCCTGATTATATATATATATATAGATATAGGTACATATATTTATTCTTCCACAGTCTGTAGTTTTAAGATGTGATTCGGGAAAAAAAACCCAGAAAACAAAACAAAACAAAAAAAGACTGAAAGAAAAAATGTAGCACAAAGAGCGTGATAAAAGGCTTTTTGGTCAAAACTGTACCACAGACTTTGGCACTCTTCTGGTAGCAGGGATGAGACAGTGAATTTTAATACTTGTTTTAGAATCTTTTGGTTTTTAGTCAAATGTCTTTATTTAAGACTTTGTATTTATACAAAGGCAATTATTTTCTTACAGCAAAATTGTGGCTTAGAACACTGATACAACACTACAGGTGCCCTGGTTTGTATCCTGGTTAGGGAGAGCTGCATCTCTGCTCATTTTTTGTGCAGTTAACACCTGATGGTACCCAATTCAATATTCCAGTTTTACAGAGCAGCAGCCTGGTACTGCTGGAGTCATGCAGGATTCCCTCTTTGCCCCACTCTCAGCTGTGGATGTACACACTGGGCTGTGGTTTTAAGCTTTCTAATCAGTTTATTGGCAGCTCAATAAAGAATTCCTTCAGGAGATTCTGCAAACAAGGAAGCAGAGTTTCCTTCTTCTGTTTAAATATTGGTAGGATCATTTTGCTGCCTGCTGTGGTTTTATGACAAAATATTAGGAATAAAGTGAAGCAGCACTAAGGCAAAGAGTTTTAACCTGTATAATCTTTGCAGTGGGAGCTCTTTGTACCTTTCATGTCTGGAAAATGGCCACAATGTTTTTGTTACTACTTGCATGTCACTGCCAGTACATTATCTCAAGGGACAACTGCTTTTTGAATGGTTTCTGACCCTTGTGTGTTCAGATTCCATTTTTTCAGTGCCTTCATATTTTAAAAATGAAAACAAGTAACAAAAACGTTGCTTTGGCACCACAGACCTGCCATGCCTGGTTCTTAACTTTTTCTTTTTGCTGCTTGGCTATGATTTGCTTAGCCCAGACTGAGGACAGGTTAAAAGGAAAACCCTCTTTTGGGGGACGTGCCGCCGGATTTTATACTTCAATTTTATCTATTCAAAACATGTGGCCACTACATCCCTTCCAGGGCACAGAAAATAGTGTGAGGATTGAATTGGTTGTTCCTATAAATAGAGGATTGTTCAAACTGACAAAAACTTGTTTTTCCTGCCCAAAGGTAACGACGCTGGTGAACACGAGCAATAAAGGACCGTCTGGCAAGAAGAAAGGGCGCTCGAAGAAGGCTCATGTTTTGGCTGCCTCAGTGGAGCAGGCCACTCAGAACTTCTTGGAAAAAGGAGACCAAATTGCTAAAGAGAGCCAGGATCTCAAGGAGGAGTTGGTTGCTGCTGTAGATGATGTTCGAAAACAAGGTATGTGGAAAAATGTGGATTCTTTTTCTTCTTTTCTGCCAGGGTCGGGATTAAACGTGTGAGATGGTATTTCTTGTTTGGACTCAGATCTTTATTAGTTCTTATCTATGTTGCACTCTCACAAACCATGAGTTCTGCAGCACTTCACTAACAAGGTAAAAATGGAGCTCCATCTCTCTCTCTACAAGGTCTTTTAAGAATAAACAGTCCAATAAAGAAATGACACGTCACATTATATTTACTTTTAACCCAATAACCAGCCACCTGTGCCAGCAATGGGGACTTTTTTATCCAATTACACAAAACAACCAAAATCCATGGAGAAGAAGGTGAAGAAGAAGGTAAACAAGAAGGACCAGCCTCTGCCGTACAACCTCCATCTTGCTTTATATATATCACTATATTCTAAAATCTTAAACTTTAACTTTTCCACCCTGTGATATCACACTCTTCTAATGAAACTGCACTCCCACAATCCCAGTTCCATCATTCCATTTTGGAAGCCTTCTCCATGGCCTCAGGTCAATGCAGTGTTCTCCTGGGGATCAGTGCCTAGCAGCACAGAAAGCCTAAAATTCTCAGCAACCAGGGTTCCAACAGGGAAAATGCTTGATGGGAGTAGAACTTTGCCCAGTGCCAAAGCTTACTGTTCCATTTTCAGGCTGGTTTTTATTCTGCTGTATGACAAAATGATGTGATTTTTTTTCACTTGGCTGAAACTGATCAGTGGTTTAAAGCCTGTGGGTGCAAATGTAGAACGAGGATTATGGTACATATGTTTCTGAACAATCTAACAATTATCAACCAGATAAAAGAGCAATATAGAAATACTTGTGGTTTCAAATATATAAAAAAATTGTATCAAAGCTTAAAAATATAATAACAATATTAAGACAATTATTTTCTGGGTGTTGGTGATAAAATAAAAGGATACTCACAAGGTCTGACAATTTTCTTTCAAAAGATAAAATGGGTATGAGATGCTTTCAAATTTACCTGTATGGTGGAAGGAAAATATGTTTTCAATATATACCTAGGAAAAATGTTTCAGTTTTACTGAATTTGTAATTATTTTTAGTGCAGCAGAATTAAGTACCTTTCATGTTTATTCCATTGTAAGTCCTACAATCTAAAGATACCATCTGCCAGTATCATCAGCCCAGGGTGTTAGAACAAGACTGAGAAATCTCCAAATGAGATTTCAAAAGAAGTCTGAAGGATTTGGGTGTAAAATACTAATATTCAGTGAGTTACTCCCCCAGAACTCATAATATATTGTTTTTTGTTTTGTTTTTTTTTTTATCTTGTGAACACTGGACTGAAGTGATCATAAGAGAAAGAAGGGTTAAATTTTGTATATATAAGCACTGATTAGTGAATATTCCAATCTTTTCTATCCTGAGGGTATTTTCTTCCTCCTCTCCACTCTGTGTATATTTGGTTTCACTGTTTTCATGTTCCTGTGTGGTTTGGGTTTTCTTAAATACTCAATTGTCAGTACATCGGAATAAGTTGAGTATTTGCTGTGTGCTCTATGTACAATGATCTTACAGTATTTTAGTGGGGTTTTATGGGGTTTTTTTTGATTATTTTTTCAGCTGGGTGTTTGTTGTTGTGGTTTTGGTTGGGTGGTTTTTTTAAATTTTTTTTTTATTTTTAATGCTGATGCCTGGCTGTTCTGGCATTAACTTTCATTTGTCAACTACTTCAGTTTCCTGTTGCTTACATGTCTTATTTTGTGTAGTGTCAAGTTGTAGCTCAGCATCTTCAGTGGTGACATGAGTGCCCATGTTCTTTCTGAATTAATGACCTTTTTCCTTTTGGCTTTGTGATGCTGACTCAGCTTCTCCTCAGGAGCCTTCTTCTGAGTTAGAGGCATCAACCTAAACTTGCACAGTCCTTATCTAGACTGAATTTTTGACTTTTTACATGACAAAAAGCCTTTTACTTTTCTTAACCTATATTTAGGAAAAAACAACCCAAACAACAATGAAGAAGCAGAGAGGAGGAAAGAGATCTTAAACAGAATTATACAAAGTGACACAGACATTAATCTCTTGTCAATGCTCCAGGCTGGGAAAAAAGCCTGTCAGAAAAGTGGAGCAGCTTTTTTTGGGGCCTGTTCAACACGATCCCATAATGAGGAGAGCAGGAGACACCACACACCATTATTAGCACCCACGAGCCGTGTAAATGAGACCAGCCCTGGTGTGATGTGAAATGATATGTTTAGCTGGGTGGCATAAAGAGCTGGATTAATGAACTGAGACTGTGTTTTCCTGGCTGATTTCCTGGTAGGGTTCCAGCTGGGATAATTACATCGTCAACCTAAAAATGTCTGCGGCACTTAGAGCTGGCTCTTGGTGTGCTCCTCATTTCCTGCCCTGCGTTGCTGGGTAGTGTTGTGTCCTACTAAAGGCAGCAATTCACTCAAGGGACTCCTGCTTTCCATTGATAGGTGTGGAACAAATGCTCTGTATCATTGCAAAATGCTTTGCAATGAACGAGAGTGTCCGTGGTGTTAAGATTCTTGTTCCTTCTGTAGTGTGGAAGGGTAATTTCTGTTGGCTGTAGAAAACTTTGGTGATAAACTGGTTTGATTTATGAAACTCATTCGAAAAACACAAAGAGCAAAGACCAAAATATTTGATGCCTAAAGCTTATCCCTGTGTATCTCTGTATCCCATAATGATTCCATAATTAGAACACTTAGACTTCAAAACCACCTAAGTGAGATTATCCAGTTGCTGGGCCATTGAATACTTTGCTTTGTGGGTGTTTATTCTGGAACTGTCAGAGTTGTGTAAAAGATCTCCCAGATGGGGGACAAAGAAGACCTGGGAAATGTGGAAGTTTGTCATTCATGTCTTTTTATTTTAGAGAGAAGGACAAGCAGACAGGGGTTGGAACCAGATGATCTGTAAGGTTCCTTCCAACCCAAACCATTCCATGATTCCATGACCATAAAGAATGAAGCTACAAACCCTGGGAAGTGCAGGGAAGTGAAGAGGAACTCACAGGAATTAAAATACATCATATGCTATACTCACAGCATAAGGGTCTAAATGCAACTGGTCTTTTATTGATCAGTAGAGAAGAAGGAAATTCCCTGTGGAGGAGAAGTTCAGGCCATGATTGACACAAAAATCTATCAAAAACTGCAGTTCCACTGGGCTCCAGTTTGATTAAATTTGTTAGGACACAGCCTGGGATGCTGCAGAAAGCAACACAAGGAAATAGGTTATATTCATGTAAATTTATTCTATCTGGTAAATGGCTTTGGCAATGTCTGTCTGTAGGTATGTGCTGGTGACTGCCTGATTTTAATATAATTTTCCTGGAAGTTTTCTTGCATAAAACTGAAACTTCCATTAAAAACATGATTCAGCCCAGCTGCTGGTTGTTGTGTTTTAAATTTTTTTGCTTTTCAAGCATGGTAGGTAAGACTTCACACCATAATATGAAATTCAGCAAGGGACAGAAAATAGCTATTGATGTTTTTTGTGTTTGAAGACAGGGTAAAGTTGAGGTAGACCTAATTTTTTGTTCATGCAGATTTATAGACATTGTGAAAAAGAATGTGACCTGTGTACTCTGTGACCATCTTGACATTGTGGATGAACATCTCTGAGACATGAAAGTGACTTTAACTTTATTGACATTTTTTTTCTCTCTAACAGAACATACTAAAAATAATATTTTTAGTGCTTTAATTCTTTTAACCATCTAGTTTTGAATTTTTTTTGAATGAAATTTTAAAACTAGAACTAAATTCTATGCAAAATGGTTTCTAGAGAAATCTAGAGAATCTAGAATCTAGATCACCTGGTTTTTTTAGACAAAAAAACCCCTTATCTTTTCACTTAAACATATGTTCTCCCTATGCTTATTTATAAACCTTTTCACTGAAGTATATGAGAACTTTTTTTTTTGTTTACAGAAGTTAGCATGTACTAGTTCTTGATAGAGGAAAAAGTGTCTGTGGAAAGAAATTATTGAGAAACAGGTTTTTTTAGACAAAGTAGAATTTCTGTTCGAACCCCTTATCTTTTCACTTAAACATATGTTCTCCCTATGCTTATTTATAAACCTTTTCACTGAAGTATATGAGAACTTTTTTTTTTGTTTACAGAAGTTAGCATGTACTAGTTCTTGATAGAGGAAAAAGTGTCTGTGGAAAGACATTGAGAAACAGTTTTTTTTAGACAAAGTAGAATTTCTGTTCATCCTGAAAGGTGAAGTGGGCATGTGGGCAGTCCTGCTTAACAGGACAATGAATCCTGATCTGCAGTTTTGCAAGAACCTGTGTGTACAATAAACATATTCTCTTTTTTCCAATAATATCTGTGATGATGTGCTCTGCAACTTGCTTTTTGTCTGGCTGGTGGCTCATGCCTGGGCTGAAAGCTTTTTGCACAAAGATTTGAAGTTTTCTATTTAGCAAATCACTGGAGCCATGGCCTGAAAACTCTTAGCTTGTTAATAAAATTTTTTTCCTTTTCTATTTTGAATTGGTTGTTATGTATGGAAGCGACTTCAATTGTTATTCATGTTTGCAGTGCTCCTCCTGAGAAATCTGGGCCCCTAAATGCCATTCCATGCTAATGCTTCGTCTTTCAGACTCTTCCATCCATTATCTTTCAGCTCTCTGAGAATTGAGCTGCAGAAAGACATCAAAATTCCTACTCCAAAATTATTTGAAACACTTACGAGGAAAAAGCAGATGTTGTAGAGCATCTCCAAGAGTTGCTGTGCAGGAAAGTAGGGTCAGAGGTTCCCAAAACCAGGAGTGAGGCTGCTGCAGCTCCAGAGCCCCAGTTTTGAGCAGGAATGAGACTGATGCTGTATTTCCAGTAGGTACACGCACACAAGCACACATACCCAGCTCATGTATATAATACATATATAATATAAATTTATATAATTTATATTTATGGCTGAGCACACACATCAGCCTCTCAGCACTCACCGTTCCACGATTCTGTGAGACACTGGAACTG